CATTAGTTATACTCACCATCCTGACTCCTCCATTGCTTTCAGCAGCAGCTTCACAAACGGATCTGACAAGGACAGAGATAAAACTGTTTTGTATAATGTACATGTAGTTTAGAGAAACATGTATATGTTAACCTACAAATAAAAAAAATGTATGCAGATTTAGAAACACTATCATTGAAACAAATGAAGATTTTTTCTAAATCATGAGAAACAAATCAACTTTTTTTTCTAAATTGTGTGTAAAGATATAACGTTAATATAGTTCGTTCTGTATCCTGTATTTTCCTACCTGGAGGAAAAGATCTACTCTACTGTTGTTGATAGATATTTTGATTGAAACCTCCTTGGTCTGACCTGACCCTGACCTCTTCCCTCATGACCTCAACGAAAAGCGGCCAGCATGTCGATTTGGGTCTTTCACGAATAAAATAAAAGTAAAGCCTAAATACAAACAAACAAGCAAACAAACCAGACTTACTAGATTTCATGGCGACCATGAGCTTGGTTTTACACCTGGGGTGATAGGAGTCAAACAGATTCTCGAACTTCCCGTACGGGGTTGTCATGGTTTCCCTGTACGACTTTCCTCTGCCGTGGAACAGGTCATACCCCAAATCCTCTCGTTTCGAACCTTCGCCATCTTTCTGTGGACTCTCGGAAAATTCAGCTGGTGCATTCTGTGCTGAAGAAGCCGCAGTTTCGCTGGAATTATTGGAGGGTTCAAATCCAGCATGGTTTTTACCGGGTTCCGCCATGTTGCTGTTGTAACAGGTCAGAGGTTAGGGCGAACGTTGGGTGCGGCTCTCAAAGAAATCGCAAGGTGTCGCTGCTGAACAGGACATGACGCATAACCACACTGGGCCTTGGTGAGGCCTACGTAAGGTACGCGGTTGTTCATAAAACGCTGATTTCATCTAAACATAACGACGGCAACATGGCGTTGACGGCACTGACGGTCGCCTTTCTAGCTTTCGTATCTGAAGGTAGGTTTCGATATACGTAGCTATGGTCTATCTAGTATAATTGTACGGTCCGATATCTATTATATGGTGCAGACCGCACCCCTTGAAATTATGGTTCATTTGTAGAAAGATGTACCTTAATAGCAGTGACGCTCTGTAACGTTTAACGATGGGGCATGTGGGTGTTTGCAAAAGGAATCAGTTAATACCGTTAGATACCACTCCTTTGATTGCAATAATCTTTCTATCATTTAAGTTCTACGCGTATAACATTGCCTCTGAATATATTTGTGGTACCCGGGGATGTCAAATGTCATCCTATAGCACTGGCTCGATCTACTATTGGGCCATTTAATCAACCGCAGGCATCAGTAGAGACTATGAAAATTTATCTTCAAGGCATATCACTTCACTTGGCTGTGTGAAGCTTCAAGCGGCTTCAAGACCATGTAGAAGAAAAGCCTCTGCCGTGGAGCCCGCTGTAAGCATGTATGAGGGCCTGCAACGGGGGTAGTGATTACGAATTACGCAAAATTTTCGCCGCCTATTACGAATTACGTTAAAGTCTCAGAGCTGATTACGACTTTACGATTTGCGGCTAATGTCCAATTACGAATTACGTTGATTTTTGGGGAGGCTGCCTACGAATTACGAAGTCTAAAACGGCCTGATTACGCCTTACGAAAAAGGGCTTGCAGGCCCTCATGTATGATTTGTCACTCTGCATATATTACGGTCAGTCTACTGGGACTGGCCTGACTCACTATCAAGGGTAAACGTTAAAATTTGTACAACGACTCGGAGTGAAAATGCAGAAAAGAAGAATCAGACACTGAATCCAGCTGTCTCTATATACTTCTTTCTTCAATTCTTGTGCCCGCGCTAGAGCTAAGCTTTTATGTATGCCAAAAAGGACACTTGAATTTCAAAACAGGTCATTGACCCGATTCAAGGACGTGAGATCGAGAGGGCACGTACGGGTTTAATTCTTTGCATTCCCGACTAGACGTTGTGTCCTTGGGAAAGGCACTTCACACGACTTTCCTCACTCTATCCAGGTGTAAAATGGGAACCTGACTTCGGTTGGTGAGGTAAAAGGCGGTAGAAGGATAGGGTTGGGCTCTGCCTTGCAATACCCTGCCCCAGACACAGTGGAGTAACACACGACCATACCATGTCTGTTTTCAGATCTGCAATGTCTAGGCTAGTGTCTCGTTAGATTGTTCTTATTAAAATGTTAAGTTATGTGTTAAGTTGTAATTAATGTTTCAATGTTGATGTAGTGTATTTGTATGATGTATGTCTAACTCCAGGAAGACTAGCTATATACTAGTATTTGATTTTGTACTTGTATGTTTGCTAATGGAGGATTAATTAAGCACCTAAAAAGCACCTTCTAGCCCTTAAATACCTTAAAGTTTACCTTTTTGTTGTCTCCCTGATGCAGTGGTGCCGGAACACTGTCCTGCGGGCATACGGAAGTGGACGCCGAACTCCACGTTTGCAAACCTGTACGCGCCCTTCGACTGCCCGAAGCCTGAGGACTCATCGGAGAACATCTACTGTTGCGGCATGTTGTCCTTTAGGTTCTGCTGCCCAACGAAGTGTGGCGATTACGATTTTTCCTGTCCGAGGCCCGACCCTCCTCTCATCTGGCCTGATAACACCGACTCGGGGTGAGGGTGAAATGGTGGCCTTCGCCAGGCCTTGATACATGAGGCCCTGCATGCCCGTTTTAGTAAGGCGTTATCAGGCCTTTTTTAGTCTTCGTTATCCGTATTCAGGCGCACAAAATCGTAGTAATTCGCCATCAGCACATTAGCCATAACACAAAATTGTTCGTAATCAGCTCGGAGAATTTAACGTAATTTGTAATCGGTGGCGAAAACTCCCCCCCCACACACACACACATACACTAGTTGATACTAAAACTAAAAAAAATACCTACCATTCAAAGTTTGTTAGCCTAGCACGTCCAGGTCACGAGACATCACCTTGCCATGTAAGATAAATTGTTTGATTCCCTGTTCTGTATATTTTTGCCACTCCACCGTTACGTACATTCTACCTTACTTTGCTCCTGTTCCACAGGACTTACGACAGCGGAGACTATTACGACTCAGATTCGGATGACAGCGGGTGAGTTTCAAATTTATGTCCCGGTTTCCCTTCAAAAGTTTGTGATTTTCACTAATGCCTGGAGGTGGTGTGTGTGTGTGTTTTGAATATATAACATTTGTGTGCTACATTCCTACTTACGTTTCAGTGTGTGTCCTCCCTTTCAGAAGAAACCTTGATGATGATGTTGTTGTTGACGTAAGGGTTTAGTGGTGTAAACTTGGGCCCCCTAGTTCAGACTATTTCCCGTTTTGCCGCCCCGAAATCGCATTGGCTGCCTTTAAACCCCGCAGCATCTCGACCGGGGGGAGGGCGATCCTGGTGGCGGTGTTCCTGGCTGTGACCTGCGGCGTTGTGATATGCTGTAGAGGCGCCTACAACAGGGAGGAAGGTGAGACTTGCGTTATATAATCATGTTTCTTATCTCAAACCTTGGACTCTCCAGTTTCTCTACCGGCGGCATGGCGATCCTGGCCGTGGTGGTTCTGGCCGTCAGCTGCACCGTCATGATGTGCTGTAGGAACGCGTACAACAGGGAGGAAGGTCAGAAACATGCGTACAGAGTGATATATGTCCGTACAAACACACGTACATAGTAATATTTGTCCGTACAAACACACGTACATAGTAATATTTGTCCGTACAAACACACGTACATAGTAATATTTGTCAGTACAAACACACGTACATAGTAATATTTGTCCGTACAAACACGTACATAGTGATTTATGTTCATACAATATGACATGTTTCCGTACAAACACACGTACATAGTGATATATGTTCGTACAATATGATATGTTTCCGTACAAGCACACGTACAAAGTGATATATGCCTGTACAAACATATGTACACCGTGATGTATATATCCGTGCAAACACACGGACAAAGTGATATTTCAAATTCCGTATTTTTGTGGCGATCATGACTTCTTGTTAAACTGAAATCTTTCTGCGTGTGTTGCGGATTCTAGAGTTGAACAGAGCGATGACGTCAGACGGTTACGTCACTACCTACGTGGACGGCACGACGCTGTCGTCACCAGGCCGGGTCAGAGGTCGCACTCAAGGTAGCCTCATTTTTTTTCTCTAAAACTATTTTATTGACTTGTGTTTTTGTATTTCTGTAATGTGGAATTTCCCTTTCATGTTACACACTTTTGTCGAACCATTTGTCACGATTCATCGTTTAGTGGTGACGCTCATATAAGCAGGTGCTGGAGTGCTGCACCACTATGTCGTATGTATAGCGTATTTTCAATGTTCTGGTATATTTTTAAAAAGTTAATTTGTCTTCCCCTTTCAGCCAGCGCGGCGGACGGGACAGTGATCCACCCTACAGTGCACGTGCACCCTCGGTCATCGGACCCGCCCTCAGGCACACGTGCAGACCCGCCCT